ATTTGATGCAATTCGTGAGGAAAAGGAAGAGAATAGGTAATGAGATGAGATATTGAGCATTTACACTTAAAAAAAACGGTTGGGATGCATTTAGAGCTCAAAATCGGTTGTTCATGGTGGTTGGCAAATTGAAGAAGATGACATTTTCGTAAATATCTTGAGATCTTTTGGTTTTTGTATATTTTCAAATATTTCCGAAATTAAAAAAAAAATCAGAATATAATGGCATTTTCGTGAATAAGTGGTGAGGAGAAGGATAAAGAAGGGGAAAAGTGGCAAAATAAGAGAGAGGGGATATAGGGGTATAGGTTTGACATTGACCACAAATTGTGGGTTATTTGTGCAACTATCCCAAAATTTTTTACACAAATCAAGAATTTTTGGAACTTCTACAATAGTAAAAAACATATATATTTTAAAATAATGTCAAAATAATATAATGACGTTTTTTAGATTTCTTATGCTTTACGTGAAATAAACAATTAGTATCCATGGTTAACAAAACGTTCAATGGGAAAAGGAGTAAAGAACACATATATATAGGCAAAACTTTTTTCCCAAAAAGACGCGGCCCTTGAAAATAACCATAAAATGATTTTTATATTGGAAAGACACATCTCTTGAGAAAACAGTTATAACAAAATGACGCAACTCTTGATTAAACGCTTATATAATGGAAAGATGCAACCCTTGACAAAACGGTTATATCAAAAAGACGCAACTTTTGGAAATAACTATTAAAAATAACAACTAAACAGTTCATTACAAAAATTCACAAACCAAAACCAAAATATTCATATTTTGGATGTGCTATTATATGTAAATTTAAAGTTTTGAATCATATATAGAATAACCCGAATACAAATCTTAAACTTTTGTAAAATCTCAGTAACTTCCAACGACTAATAGACTCATAAACACAAAGAGTACCACCATTTTCAACACCATGCCACTGAAGACTACAAAATAATAGAATGACATTTTTTATATTTATTATGCTTTAAGTCAATTAAACAATTAGTAGCTATGATTAATAAATTCCAATGGGAAAAAGAGTAAATAACACGAATATATATGCACAACTTTTTTTCGAAAAGACACGACCCTTGAAAAATAACCATAAAACAGTTTTTATATCAAAATACACAACTCTTGATAACAGTTATATCGAAAAAACGCAACTCTTGATTAAACGGTTATATCAGAAAAACGCAATCCTTGACAAAACGGTTATATCTAAAAGACACAACTTTTGGAAATAACCATTAAAATAACTACTAAACGGTTTTTTACGAAAAGTCACAATCCAAAAATATTCATTTTTTGGATTTGCTATTATATATAGATATAATTAATAAAAAAATGAACATGATCCACCGGAATTTTGAGATGGCCCTCCCTG